GAGCTGTGATGGAGTTTAAGTAACTGTTCTCAGTTAGTCCTTCACGTAACATGAAATCAAGTCTCTCATTTAACCGATCTAGAAATAACAGGTAAATTAATTAATTAATAAAAGGGATTAATTTCCCTGTCACAGTGTGTGTATATTATACTTACCTTCAGGTGGTATTTTGGTGTCATCATCAAAAATCTGTAGGAAAAAATATAATTAATATTCAATAATAATACAATGCAGTATTAAAAATGTTAGAATTCACATGTAGTTACCGGTACATGTATTACATGTATATTTATTTGCAAAAAAATAAAATTATCTAGCAATCACTCAATTAATATACATGTACTGATGTTTCATTGATATACATGTAGTTTACTTTGTCAGGAGGTAATGATTTAGAAGTTTCGGCGCCATTACTAGAAGCAACACTTTTAACAACAGCTGATATCAGTGATTGTGTCCAGCTGCTGCTGCTGCTACTCTTAGTACTCTGTGTCACTTCTGGTGTCTTGGGTCCTTCAGCTAGACTCATTGACTTCTGTGTTGGTTTGCTGCTAGCAGTGTCCATCTTTACCGGCTTCACTTGAGCATACACAGGACTGATGAGAGGCTCCAAACGATACGCCTGGATTAAAATTGAAGAGTATAAAGATGTCAAATTTTAATTGTAACATCAACTACAGGCAACAAATACATGTATAAGATAAATACAGTACAAATATCATGCACTATCTCATAATAGCAGGCTCTTCATGTACTCTATAGTTGATACTAAACTCACCACTGGGTCTGAAGGATGATGCACATTATGAATTCTTTTACAAATAGCAGAAGGGAGTAGTGAATCAGCTCCTTTGCTTCCCTTCACTAGTGGGCTGTGTTCCCTCAGCATTAAGAAGATACCTAATGGAGACCCCACAGCAAACAAGTGATCCACTTTAAACTTTAAAGAATTGAAGTCTTTCTTTATGCCAAGCTCTGACTCCAGTTCAGCTACTCTTATTCTTAACTTCTGTAGCTCTTCAAACTTTTCATCTGACTCATTTTTAAATGGATGATCTGGCGGGAAAAGAACAGCTGGTAATTTTTTTAACTCCCCAGACTCAATATATACATGTACATGTACACATAACTCTCTCCTTTCCTTCAATCTCTCTCTTTCTCTTTCCTTTTCATTCGAATTATATGTCCCTTTTCTTTACTTTCTCTCTCCCTCTCTCTCCCCCACCTGTTAAATCAACGTCCATTGGAGTACAGTCTCTTTCTCTTTTTTCCAGTAGTCCATTGATCTGGCAAGTCTCATACATCAGGTCATAACACATTACGCTGCCAAGGGAATGAGCAAACATTGATACTGTCCCATTGTTTGATATAAAGTCAGGATTACGTCTTATAAATTCATCGTATTTCTTGTGCAGCTGCCAACGCAGACCATCAAGAATCTACAACAGGTATACATCATTGTTAGTATATCAATAGTAATGGTAGTGTGTGTGTACAGGTGGTTCATACGGTATTCATATAATAGTTTATTATATGGTAGCAGCTGCTAACCTCAGGTCCAAACCGTGGGCTAACGTAGAACATAATGTCAAGTACAGAGTCATTCAAGATAGAACGTAATGCCTTCACACCATGAGGAGTTATACTGGCCACTGCACCTGGAGAGAAAATTACCATATATGAACTATAGTACAGAGTATTT